TGATATAAGTAGTTATGGCTTTAAAAAAATCACAAAGCTGACATGAAACTGCTCAATAATGTTGATGTCTATTTATTTACTAAACACTAAGTCTTTTAGCTGGCCTAATTTCCATTTTCTTCAGAAGCAAATGCCTCTGTTACTTTACAAATGTCATGCCTTGGCTCTTCCTTGACCCCAAAGCATAACAAATCCTAGAATACTGAACTCTACATCCTTAAATCACATGCAATCCATGAAAAAAAAAAAAAAAAAAGAAAAATCCAGTTACAGGAACAAAATATTTCATCTTTAAGTGTATTCAAAGAACTGACGTATTTGTAAAAATAACATCATGAAACACTATTAAACTGCAAATATCATAGGCAACTTGATGTGTTAAGACAGGATGAAGTGTTTATACGCACTCATACACACATTTTTAAAAGGCTTCAAAATTTTGCATGTTATAAATGGTATAAAAAATTGAAAATGTCCCCTGGCTGGTTAATTCCTTGTCTTAGCATGCTATAATATTAAATGAAATTCACAGATTCCTTTGTTCATAGATTTGCTTCTTCATAATTATAAAATTATGAGTAAGAACTGAGCTCCTGTATCCTTATATTCTCAGAACCTGGTAATAAATTTCTTATAATGTTTTAATACCATTCTAATAACATCAATAGAAAGACAATGGAATCTTAACATAAAATACATAACATTAGTTAGTCAAGCAAGTTAAAAAGCATTTCCATAAATTCAAGACTTCTGTGATAATCCAAGCAATGCTTTATGGAAAGAAAATCAAGCAGTTATTAATTACAAAAGAGAAAAAAATTGACAACCCTTTTCTAAGATTTATTCATTGGGCAAGTTATCTCTACTTTATAATAAAAAGCTTATTATACAATCAATTCAAAGATTGGGAGGTAAAGAGAAAAAAATGTCTGTGTCCTTGTGTCATAGATATTCATCATTAAATGCTTTTAATGATCCAGCATTAGTTAGATAAGTTGCACAGGCATTCTGAACAACCATGAAGTGACAATATCTTGGCCACTAAACAAAGTCTAAGTCAGTGAACTTTCATGACGTCAACATGCTGAAATGAGTTCTTGTCATGAAATGTCATGTGCTTCATTATATAATCTCAGCCCTTTGTGAACATGTTATGACTATAGCCAAAGGAAGGGAAAACAGGAGTGTCTCTAAATCAATCATGGGCCATGAAGTCAGACAGACTGTATGACAGATGCAATTTTTCTTGGCACCACTTGGGCATAGCTAATTGATGACAATCATATGTCCACACTGGCACATTTCCACAGGGGATGTGTGTGAATATGTCACCACATCTGGATGCGAGGCATGCTGGGGTCCTGAGGCACAAAGACCTACTAAAACCAGAGGCCCAGCAGCTGTAGTCAATGAACACCGTGGGAGCTCCACAGAGTGATGAAAGGACCAAATTACCACAAACTGTAAATACAGATTTATTTCATTAAAATACGAGGTAACTGCTGCAGCCATCTCTTATTCAGACATCCGTCTCTTTAAAAAAGCTAGCATTTATGTGTATATTCCCAACTTTGTCAAGAAAATTTATATTTCTCCAAGAAAAGATGATGACACCAACATAAAGCAAAATCAAAAAGTTTCTGATTCCCTTTACATTTAAAAAGAAAAGAAAGTAAGTCCACACAGAAGCTAGAAAGGAAAAACATGGTATTCTACTGACATCATGTTTGCAAGAATAGTCCTCTTCCTTTTAATTCAAATGTAAGATCCATATAACTTATTACAAATCTCATGTTGAAAATTCAACATATTTTAGTAAAAAACACTATAATATATTAATATATCATTTTAGCTTTTATATGAAGGACAGGTGAATATAAATAGGTTACTTTTCCTAACTTATAGAGGAGCCAAACTGAGCAATAATTTTATTCTGAACTATATTATAAATTGCTAATAAATTATTTTTTAAAATTATATAAATAATTCTTTGAAACTTGAAAAGTTCCCTCATGAAAATCCTTGTTTTATTCAAAAAAATTGGTTCAATAAAAAATCTGTAATTGAAAAATGATTCATAAGTCAGGGTTGGGACTTAAGGCAGTAGAGCGCTCGCCTAACACAGGCGGGACCCGGGGTTCAATCCTCAGTACCACATAAAAATAAAGGCATGTGGGAAAAAAAGAAAAATGATTCATAAATCTATAATTAAATCTCTAAAATCTTAAGCCAACTAATTTTCCCATTCAGTGTGACAGAAATCACCCTACAGCAGCAGTTCCTATGATTTCTTTATGGACAAAAGTCCTAATTTTAATTAGGTCAGAAACAAAAAATCCCGCCCTTTTCTTTTCAGAAGACTTTTCTCCATCTCCCTCATTAGTTTCCTCTCCCGGCCTGCCTGCCTTAAAGCTGCTGGACGGTCTTATTTATGATGTTCTTCCACTCTGCATCCAATCACCTCACACCGGCCTCATTTTCCAAGATGTCTGCTTACCTAGGTTGATGAGTGAGTAACAAGAGTTTTGATGAACTAAACCTTCCCTTCCTAAGGATAACAGAGACACGAAAGCCATCTTTTTCTATTTTATTATGACTGCCACTCATCTAAACATTTACGTGGTGATAGAAGGCATTACTAATACATTAGACTTTTTCACATGTGGATTGAATAAAGAAAACAATGTCTTCAGGAAAATCATAAAAGGTGCTTGAACACATCCTTTCACTCATACTTCTGTGAATGCTCTAACTGGCAAGACTATGACTAAAATAAGGCATAGCTTAATATCCTACATGGAAAGAGGAATAAGGAACTGAAAGAGAGACTTCTTATGTAACAATTTAAAAATATAGCCAAGAACTTTTCTCAACTTCTATCTTCAGTTCACCTAAATTTTCACTAACCATGAAAATGATCCATGTCACAGAATCATTTGGGCCCACTGCAAAGCAGTATCTTGAATCTGTGTAAATGGAAAATACAAACTATAGATTTCAAGAAGAGGTGGGGGGAAGAGGGAGAGAAAAAAGAAAAAGCAAGCAAGAAAAAAAAAACGACGAAGTAAAATGCAGCTGACATGGCTGCTAACATTAAGACCATTTAGGTAACCCTGTGATTTCATCATCTCAACTCTCTTTTACCACCATTTAGAGCAGGAACATTCAGTCCAAAGAGCAGGAGGATTCTGTATCCAGTCTGGCACAGATATACTGACTAGTTCTGGGTCACACTGTTAGGCATTTTTTTTTTTCCTTTGGCAATAAGTTCTAGGGATTGGACCCATACTAGGCAAGTGCTCCACTTTTGTACTACATCCCCACCCCCTTTATTTTTTACTTTGAGACATAGTATAAATTGCCCAGGCTGATCTCAAACTTTTGATCCTCCTGCCTCAGCCTCTTGCATAACTGGGATTATAGGCATTTACCACCATGTCTGACTTGCTTTATTTTCTTATCATTTGCCCCCAGACAAAAGTCTATAGTTGACATCTAAAAGGAATAGTTAACAGACAAAAATAGTTTTGTCAGCAGACATTAACATCTTGATGACCAAACTAACTCTATTTAATAAGTTATCTTGTCAGATATTTTGCCATGTCAATGCAACTGCTAGTGAACCAGTTTCCCCAAGAAATGAGCAGCAGTAGTCCTACTAAGGATGACCCCAGGGGCTTTCTCCTCTGACACATGAATGACAAAAGTAGTTCCAGAGTGGGAACCCTGAGATGGATAGGACAAATGCAAACACTGCGATGGTCACCAAGTTGAACTCCCAGTGCCCCATTTTTACACTTTTCAAATGTTTTATCCAAGGTCATGGGGGATCTAGTAATGCAGAGTTTTCAGCTTTTCTGTTCTGCTTAACATCCTCCCAAGAGCAGAGGCTGGTGCCCCAATAGCAAAAACAGCTGTTGTGCTAATTCAGATTCCAAAACCACGTGGCTTTAGATAAAGCATTCTCAGTAGTTTTCTCTGTTCTGAGAATATGAGAGTTAAATTAGCCATCAATGACCAGCCCACAGAGACTTACTCTTTGAAAACCTCTTTGGAAGTCTTTCATTTTTCAACGTGAATAAAAAACAGAAGAACACAACTTGATATAATTCAAATGCATTGCTTGATAGGGAAAAAAACAATAAAAAATAAATCAATAGATAAGTGAAAGGAAGATCAGTGGAGTAGAGAAAGGAGGGAAGGAAATAGTGAGGGTAGGGAATCTGAAATTAATTCCATGAATGTACAATTTGTCCAGAGGAACCCAACTACTCTGTATAACTAAAATGGTTTAATTTAAGAAAGAAAAAGAGGAAGAGAGAGAAAGAGAGAAAGAGAGAAAGAGAGAGAGAAAGAAAGAAAGAAAGAGAGAAAGAAAGAAAGAAAGAAAGAAAGAAAGAAAGAAAGAAAGAAAGAAAGAAAGAAAGAAAGAGCTTTGCTTGATCTCCTTCCCCAAATTGAAACACAGGGAAACACAAACTTCTATTTTTCCCCATTAATAAATACCCTGGAATTTGGAATAACAAACTTTCCTTTCTAAAATAAGTCTATATTTAGATTCAATGATATTAGATAAAAGCAGTGAAAATTGGTAGTAGACTAAGACTAGAATAGAGGTTTTTTGACAGCTTTCCCTAGGATCACACGTGTAAAGTGCCACTTAAAGAAACAGTCCTTTTGGGGGGCTGGGGTTATAGCTCAGCGGCAGAGTGCTTGCCTTGCACATGTAAGGCACTGGGTTCGATCCTCAGCACCATATGAAAATAAATAAAGATATTAAAAAAGAAAGAAACAGTCCTTTTTAAAAAGTCATCCATAATGGGCAGGCGTTGTGGCTCAGTGGTAGCACGCTCGCCTAGCAAGCGTGAGGCCCTAGGTTCGATCCTCAGCACCACATAAAAACAAACAAAGCTATTGTGTCCAACTACAACTAAAAAATAAATATTAAAAAAAAGTCATCCATAACCTTTCATCACACAGCTATCCTTGCAAACACTTACCTGACTTTTTTGCCTTGCTCCGTGAGCATCTTTACCAAATCAGCAATGGGGTACTGAGCTTTGGCTGCACAGAGACCATATCCTGCAAGAAATATCAAGAACATAGAAAAATGTGGTTTTTGTTTTGAAATGTTATGAACTACACCTTGTCTCTTGCTCAAAACACATTTTTATGTCAACATAGGCAGTTAATAGGACTAGACATGAAAATAATTTATAATCTGACCTTCAAAATCATAAGTTTGAATTTGAAAATTAAAATCTAATGATCCCTCAATCTTCTGCAGAGTACAGTATTTCTGAGCACCCCCATCCACACACCATAGACACACTTGCACATGCCTTCTTCTTCTCTCTTTACCTCTCTCTCATGTTTTTAAACTCTGTGCATACTTGATTCTGAAAACACTTCTGTTCCCTGGCACCTCCTAACTTTCTCCTCTCTCAAATTTCTTTAATAGTTTTTCTTTTTAGTTGCCTTCTTAAATGACCAAGTTTCTCCCTCACCTCTCTTTAAAAATCTCAGCTCATCCCATGGCATCAATAACCATCTGATGACTCCCATTCTGCCTCTCATTTGAGTTCCCATACAGCATGCTCATTGTCCAAACTTTATATCTCAAAAAAATAACTTAACATTCCCACCCCTACACCTAGATGAAAAATAAAAATGATCTTCACATTTGGTATTACTAAGGGTATAACAAGAACTTCAGCTATCTTCCTTCTCCTATAACTGCCACATTCTGTCCAGTCTACCTATACAACAACTGCTTTTCTAACCCTTTTCCCCAAATTCTAAGTTTCTGCTTAAGCTATTCCCTCTGCCTTCACCCATGCCTAACACTATCCCTCCTCTAAGGCCAAAAACAAATCCTCACTTGCCTACAAATCTTCTTAGTTTCCTCATGATGGGAAAATGGTTCACAAGGTTCAATTTAGCCTTTATCATAGCCACCACCCCCTGCATCATTCATCTGCAACTTCTTCCCCCAGTGGAAAATGCCTCAAGGAAAAGATCACAGTCCTCAACTTCTTCACACTCCAGCACACTTTCTCTACAGGCAATTCCACAGCTGTTCCGGCTGTGACAATTCAACACACAGGAATGTCCCCATACACTTCAGTTTATCTGCTTCTGTTCACTAATAGACAATAGCAGCCCCATCTTTGTGACGACCAAAAACCCCAAATCACATGTTTCAAATGCCCCTAAAAAGGAACACTGCCCCAACTTAAGAAGGCTTGCACCTTAACATTTGATTAGGATAATGTTTGTTATTTTTACCTTAATACCAATAGGTTAATTACCCACATGTCAAATCAATAGATTTTCTTTATAGAAAACTCAAAAGACTGAATGCAGTTAAAATCTTGAACTGAAACCAACATGTTATCCATAATACCAGAGCATTGTGTAATAATAGTGAAAGAGAACTGGGCTAAAATTAAAGAGAGAGAGAGAGAAAGGGAGCTGTGGTGCAGGATTGAGGCCCAGAGAGATTAAATGACTTGGTCAATGTCATACAGACTATTAGTGGTAAAATTAAGGCCAAAAATGAGACGTTGAGGGCTAGGGTTGTGGTTCAGTGGTAGAGTGCTTGCCTAGCACACATAAGGCCCTGGGTTTGATTCTCAGCACCAAATACAAATAAATAAAGGTCTGTTGACAACTAAAAAAATAATAAAAATTTTAAAATAAGATGTTGTGGCTCCCAGACCAAGCTCTGTCTACTAGGTCATGTTCTCTCATGCTATTGAAACCACATGATTCTTGATGTCATTTTTTAAATATATATTTTTGAAAAGAGACTAAGCAAGCCTACTAAGCCAGACACTTTCATAACCTATATCTAAATTAATCTTGATGATAGGCCAAAAAATTACCATAAAAAAAATAGCTAAGACTCAAAAATTAATACATGTTCAAAGAAACACTAAAAGACACTACAGAACCCACTGCATCAACTTATAGATTATCTATGTGATCCTCAAAATATTAACCTAAACTGAGAATTTTCATATTTCTCATGTAGTAATCACAGAGTTCCTACTAAGTTTCCATTGTGTTTTCAAAATTAAGGAATTTTCAATTCCATTTTTTTCCCATTATAAAAATAACTATCTCTGAGTCCATTACAACAGTTAGAGGTTGTCTATTTTTTGATTTTGCCTTTATTTTTTTACCTGGAGTAATGATAATGCTATTAGCTTCTCGAATCATGTCGATGGCATTGTCAAGGTTGATTTCTGTATGTGTGCCAGAAATTTCCATGGGTTTCCCACCAGCTGTTGAAGTGGTACCATAGCCTCCAAGAATCACATTAGCCAGGGAGCGATTCATTGCCTACAGAGCAAAATTATCAGCTATGAGAGTTTAATCCACATAACTTTTGGAGAATGGTATAAATTTTGCACATATGATATTCAGAAGCATTAAAAAGGTTTATTTGATGATTTAGGTCATTTTAACCAGATAAATTTGAGCTGGCTTCTGAAAATTATTTCAAAAATTTAAATTTTAATTTAAAAAAATTTAAATTTAAATAAAAAGAGATCAGAGAACCACCTGTTTTTTTCAAGTCAATTACACAGATACATTTTCAGTAAAATGTGAATAAAGACAAAGATTTTAATAAAAACTACCAGTAAAATTTAAAATGCAAAATTCAGATTCACTATTATTGTCCAAAGGCTGATTGAGCAATTTCTCTCCATACCTACATGTATTTCACCAGGGTAAACCACAACCAAAGAAAATGACATGAATAAAACCTTTTTACATTGACCCTTCAGATCTCTCCAGTGAACTCTGCTACCAGAAACAAGCTGTCAAGAGGCAACCAGAAGGAATCAAAATAAGGGCTACATTTGATTTAGAACTCTGCTGCCTTCTGTCTTCAAGAGGAAGAAAACACGGGGGCTGGCATATTATCCAAATCTATTACAGCTCCATGAAACCCTACACCTAAGTTGTAATAGAAGTAAATGGATCCATCATCAGACTCTAAAATATTTCATTTCCAGAGACGCAGGTGCTTAAGGCGATATATCTTCTCTTTAAATTTACACCCACACTTTTAACTTGTAAAATAACCTCAGAAAAAAAAAAAAATAGGAGAAAGGAGCTTCACATTGCATACTCACAATCATCCCAGAATGTACCAAACACCACAATTGAAATACATAACAATAACTGTCCTGGTGTGAAAACCTCATTTGTAGCTGTCTTGAGGTGGGATGGTAAAGGGGAAACAGGAAGCCCAAAGACATTTTAAGTAATCAAACACATTTTAATGGTACTGGTACCAAAACCGGCGGGTGGACCAATGGTACAGAATAGAGGACACAGAGACTAATCCACAAAGTTACAACTATCTTATATTTGATAAAGGGGCTAAAAGCATGCAATGGAGGAAGGATAGCATCTTCAACAAATGGTGCTGGGAAAACTGGAAATCCATATGCAACAAAATGAAACTGAATCCCTTTCTCTCGCCATGCACAAAAGTTAACTCAAAATGGATCAAGGAGCTTGATATCAAATCAGAGACTCTGCGTCTGACAGAAGAAAAAGTTGGCTCCAATCTACATATTGTGGGGTCGGGCTCCAAATTCCTTAATAGGACACCCACAGCACAAGAGTTAAAAACAAGAATCAACAAATGGGACTTACTCAAACTAAAAAGTTTTTTCTCAGCAAGAGAAACAATAAGAGAGGTAAATAGGGAGCCTACATCCTGGGAACAAATTTTTACTCCTCACACTTCAGATAGAGCCCTAATATCCAGAGTATACAAAGAACTCAAAAAATTAAACAATAAGAAAACAAATAACCCAATCAACAAATGGGCCAAGGACCTGAACAGACACTTCTCAGAGGAGGACATACAATCAATCAACAAGTACATGAAAAAATGCTCACCATCTCTAGCTGTCAGAGAAATGCAAATCAAAACCACCCTAAGATACCATCTCACTCCAGTAAGATTGGCAGCCATTATGAAGTCAAACAACAATAAGTGCTGGCGAGGATGTGGGGAAAAGGGTACACTTGTACATTGCTGGTGCGACTGCAAATTGGTGCAGCCAATTTGGAAAGCAGTATGGAGATTCCTTGGAAAGCTGGGAATGGAACCACCATTTGACCCAGCTATTCCCCTTCTCGGACTATTCCCTAAAGACCTAAAAAGAGCATGCTACAGGGACACTGCTACATCGATGTTCATAGCAGCACAATTCACAATAGCCAGACTGTGTAACTAACCTAGATGCCCTTCAATAGATGAATGGATTTTTTAAAATGTGGCATTTATACACAATGGAGTATTATGCTGCACTAAAAAATGACAAAATCATGGCATTTGCAGGGAAATGGATGGCATTAAAGGAGATCATGCTAAGTGAAGCTAGCCAATCCCTAAAAAACAAATGCCAAAATGTCTTCTTTGATATAAGGAGAGTAACTAAGAACAGAGCAGGGAGGAAGAGCATGAGAAGAAGATTAACATTAAACAGGGATGAGAGGTGGGAGGGAAAGGGAGAGAGAAGGGAAATTGCATGGAAATGGAAGGAGACCCTCATTGTTATACAAAATTACATATAAGAGGAAGTGAGGGGAAAGGGTAAAAAAAAAAAAAAAAAAACAAGGGAGAGAAATGAAGTACAGTAGATGGGGTAGAGAGAGAAGATGGGAGGGGAGGGGAGAGGAGGGGGGATAGTAGAGGATAGGAAAGGCAACAGAATACAACAGTCACTAGTATGGCAGTATGTAAAAACGTGGATGTGCAACCGATGTGATTCTGCAATCTGTATACGGGGTAAAAATGGGAGTTCATAATACACTTGAATCAAATATATGAAATATGATATGTCAAGAACTATGTAATGTTTTGAACAATAATAAAAAAAAAAAAAAAGAATTCAAATCAGTACTGTTCACGATCAAAACAAAATATTCTACAGGACTGTAACTGATGTTACCATTTGGAAAAAATTCCAAACATTATTAAATCCTATTTTAAGGCTGATAATAAACATATTATTGATTACTGTAAAAGCTGTGCAAGGATCAATCTATTACCTTTTTTTTTGGTACTGGGGATTGAACTTAGGGTACTCTACCACTTAGCAACATCCCCAGCCCTATTCTGTATTTTATTTAGAGACAGGGCATCACTGAGTTGCTTAGCACCTCGCTTTTGCTGAGGCTGGGTTAGAACTTGCGATCCTCCTGTCTCCAATTCCTGAGCCGCTGGGATTACAGGCGTGTAAAAAAAGAAAAGATAATATTTGATTATTTAAAAAGCAATTAGAGGGCTGGGGTTGTGGCTCAGAGGTTGAGCTTTCACTTAGCACGTGCCAGGCCCTAGGTTCGATCCTCAGCACCACATAAAACACATAAAATAAAGGTATTGTGTCCAACTACAACTAAAAAGTCAATATTTAAAAAAATTTAAAAAAACAATTAGAAATCTCCAACGATAAGCACTACATCAGGGAAAAAACCACAACCACCCAGAATGAGGGCCCAGCTGGCAACCACTTTGGTGGAGACATTTACCTCACTGCTTATGTTTTGACACAGGCAAAGGCAGGGAGGAAAACAGAAGATGGGCAAAGAGCCATGCTTTCATAACAACAAAGTTCAAAGATGATGGATCACAATATCAGCATTTTTTAAATTATTCTTTCATGCTAAGCTCACCTATCAAATACGAATGTATTTTACAGAACTCCAAATCTGATAAATTCGTCTAAGGTTAACACACACAAAATAAAGCCTGAAATATCTTTATGTATATTATTAACGGATAAGAGAGTCATGGAAAATTAATGTTTTTAATTAAGTTAATAAACCTAATCTAACTTGAAGTTTTAAGCTCTTGTTAAGATATCCTCTCAAAATTTCCAAGGTTTAAATAAAAGCCCAGATAGACATACCTGAGACTTCCCAAACTTTCAACTTCTGAGGATTTTTGTTGTTGTTGTTGTTTTATAGGTGGAGATCATTTATGTGGTGCTGAGAATCGAACCCAGTGCCTCGTGCATGCTAGGCAAGCACTCTACCACTGAACTACAACCCCGGCCCCACTTTTGAAGATTTTGATGAATCTTTTCTAGTTTTAAATTACAGGATTCTGAAACTAGGTTACCAAAAAAATGTTCTACCAAATTTTTGTCTTTAAAATCGGTACAAAACATTATTTTAGACATTGAGATATTTATGAAGTTATGTCATAAATAACTTCAAATAAATGTCAAATGGACAAAGAGGCTCTATGACAGTCTTGCAAAGGGACAGATCACAGAGGGATATACGGCAGAGGGACACATGTATAGAGATATACCCAAATTATTCCAACTTGGCTTAAAAGGAACCTATAAAACGAATGGAGAAGGAAAGAATTTCTGAGGACATCTAAAATGTACCCACTTCAGATGGCAACTTAGGGAGAAAAAACAGGGAACCCCCATAGTAGTTTAAAAATCAAGGCCTACCCCCTATTAAACACATATACATAATTATATCATCATTATACTAATTTCATGTGGCCTCTTAAAAACTAAATTATTTTCATCTCTAAATTTACCATTGCAACATTATTTTCTCAACAAATGTTCAGGGTTTCTGCTTGAGTGATTAATGGTCTATCCTATGGGCACTGATCCACATATTAAAAAGAGTTTCCAGCTTTCAAGGCAAAAAAAATTTGCAACATTGTCCAAAACTATTCCTCTCAAACTATTAAGCCCTAAAACGAAAATTGTATTCTACATTAAAGAGACCCTTAACTCATATAATTCTAAGTGCACTGTGAGAAGTAAACCTGAAAACAAAGGAAAAGTCATAAAGTAGACCAAGACAAAATAATAACATATACACCATTTACCAGCCTCTCATTTCAGTACCTGGTAGATGATAATTAATCACAAAGCAAAAAAAAAAAAAAAAAAAAAAAAACATAATTTTCTTTGTATTTCTTCTATTTCCATTTGGCAACAAATAACAAAGTACAAAAATCAAAAAATTTTGCCTGAAAATGCTGTTGCGTTTTTGCAAGACCTCTATTTCCCAGGTGATTTGAATTCTATCACGAGTAGAGGGACTATAAAATCATAAAGAAGGTAATGTCTATTTGATGTCTGGATATAAAGCACATCATTGATTTGAGTTTTTTGATTAGACATTGCCAATATTTTTCAACTTTTATAATAATGAATACTGTGTAATCATAGCTCAGAGGACACCAAAAAAAATTAATTATCAGAACAAAAATACAATTCTAGGGATTGCTGGTTAGCCACTTGTGGTACATTCCATTTCTTCCTATAGAATAAAATCACCCTGTTTCTTATTTTTTTTTCTGGTGGTAGTTTGTGTTTCTGTTTTTGGTACCGGAGATTGAACCTATAGGTGCTTAACTGCTGAGCCATATCCCCAACCCTTTTTTATTTTTGAGACAGGGTCTTGCTAAGTTGTTTAAGGCCTCCCTAAATTGGTGAGGCTGGCTTGGAACTTTAAATCCTCCTGCCTCAACCTCTGGGATTACAGGTGTGCACCACCAAACCCAGCAAAACCACCCTGCTATGCTTTAGACTTAAATTTTTCCTTCAGTCTTTAATAATGAAGGTCAACATACTGTATCATATTAACTCCAGTAAATGAGCTAAAAAAATATCCATCTAATGTTCATTTAGCAAACAGTACAAACCTTGGAATGTACCAGGTACTAGGCCAGGCTTCACAAACACAAAGGTAAGAAATAAGCCTTAAAAATACCTTATCTCTAAAATGAGAACATTTTCTATCTCCAAAACTATTGTAGAGATGAAATGAGCTAACACTTGTAAAGCATCCAGCATAATGCTTGCAGTACCGTACTAACACCCAAGTTGAACCAGCTATTTAATTTTTATTAATCTTATGAACGACCTTGTGCTGCTAAGCATAAGCCATGAAAAAAAAATTCTTATAATAAAGAAGCACAAGTTAAGAATTAGTGAAGGTCAATGAAAAAAAATCGGAAATCAGGGAAATTTGGAAGGAAAGAAATTTTCTATTTTCCAAGTCTAAAAATACAGCAGGTTTGTTTATATTGTTTTCTTTTTGTTTCATAATGACATCTGGGAGTAGGGAGCATGCACTGAAGTAAGCCATGACACCCATCGCTAGTTTAGAGCACTAAGGAGGAATCGTTGGTGGACAATCAATTTATCAATTTCAAAAGGCAACAAAAACAGCTTATGCCCTTTGAACGTGTAATTGCACTTGTAAAAATTTAACTTAAGGAAATAATCAAAGATGCACAAAGAGAAATACTACAACCAAAAAAATTGTTCAAACAATTAATAATGTAGATTTGGAAACATAGCTTATGGTATATGTGTGTTATAATAATGTGTTGATGCTAAAAATTATTAGTTAAAAACTTAACTAAATTCAACAATGCACTAAATAGAATGTTAACACAGCACTTGAAAAAAATGTTAGAAAATTCAGCAATGCACTAAATAGAATGTTAACACAGCACTTGAAAAAAAATTAAAACTTTAAATGTTATTAACAGTTAATGAACAATAGAAGTTCAAAAATTTTTATTTTCTTATTTATTCTGTTTTTTAAATTTCCTATATTATACATCTTTCATTTTTGTAATTAGGATTTTTTAAACTAAGCCTTCGCCTTCCTCGAATCCAAATTAATATAAACTTGCTATCATGATATTAATGAACCCAGATAGCTACAAGAATATATTAGCTATATATGTGGTATAGGAATTTTAGAAAATAAAAAACTGTATAGTATGATGATGACAAATGACACACTTGTGGCAGTAGAAATAGAAAAAAAAGAAACAGGATAGCTAAAGAAAATAGATCAAGAAATATGAAAGAGCCAGGCATGGTGGTGCACACCTGTAATCCCAAGGGCTCAGGAAGCTGAGACAGGAGGATTGCAAGTTCAAAGCCAGCCTCAGCAAAAAGCAAGGCCCTAGGGAACTTAGACCCTATATCAAAATAAAGAATTGTATAAGGGCTCAATGGTTAGGTGCCCCTGAGTTCAATATCTAGGATGAAAAAAAGAAAAAGAAATATGAAAGAATTTAAAAAGAAAGATAATTTCCAAAGAACATGTAGAAGAGAGTATTTTCAACAAGTGCCTCTTCCAACCTTATTCAAGTTCCTTTTAGATGTATTAACATAAGAATTACTATGGTTACTATAATTAATAATAATAAAAGAAATTAACTTCTTGGGACGGGGTTGTGGCTCAGTGGCAGAGCGCTTGCCTAACATGTATGAGGCACTGGGTTTGATCCCCGACAACAAATAAAAATAAACAAATAAAATAAAGGTATTGTGTCCATCTACAACTAAAATATATATTTTTTTAAAAGAAAGAAACTAACTTCTTAAATTGGTCAACTACACCTCCCAAAATATCTGTCTCCACTTTATTTAAAGAAACCATTAAGAAAAATGGAAGAACTTTGGGCAAAGGGAAGGGAGGGGTGAGGAAGGGGCATGGGGCAGGAAAGATGGTGGAATGAGATGGACATCATTACCCTAGATACATGTATGGTTGCATATATGGTGTGACACTACATCGTGGACAACCAGAGAAATGAAAAGTTGTGCTACAATTCTGTACAAAGAATCAAAATACATTCTGCTGTCATATATACCTAATTGAAAGAAATTAATTAATTAAAAAAAAGAAGGTATCCATGGTAACATTTTAAGAACTGGGTACAAGTCCTTCGCCCTTTCCTCCTCATATCAGTATGCCACTGGCTTTATTTTTTGAAATCCAAATCCTCCCATTTGATTTAAAATCAGTTTTCTGGGAAACCATGTTTAAGTAATAGTGAAAATCTGCTGCCCTCTGCTGGTCAAATTTTCCAAATGACTCAAATTCAAACCAAGGGTTAAAAGTTTATTTTTAGATTAAACTGTATTTCTAATACAACTGAACACATTTTTTTCCTTAAAAACCTCAAAGCTTGATACTTTTAAAATAGGATACTCAAGCTTTCACCTTTACAAATTCCCTAAATAACCTGAGTAACTTAATTTAAAAATCTCTGGGCTGGTTTTGAATTTGGGCTATCTAATGCTTTCTTTTACAGTACAAAGAAATAAACAACAAAAAAAATCTTATAAAAAGATAACCAGGATTTAAATTACAACTAAGAGTTTTCAATTAAAACTTCAGAAAATTCTAAGTTGCAAAATAAGGGGGTTTTTTAATTGAAAAAAAAATGATAGGAGTAGCAGCTCTTTTCCCTCTAAATTATTTATCAGTGGAAAGTCATATTCTGATTTCTGATTGTATAAGGGCTCAATGGTTAGGTGCTTGTCTTTTAACAGCTATTCAAAACTAATATATAGAGAATAACACCTATAACTGGGAAACATTTTCTAGTCAACCATAAATTATTTGCAGGATATAAGCTTGCCACTCAAAAAGATAATCAGAAATTTAAAACAAAGCTAACAAGTATTCACATTGTTACTTTTTTCTGTTCTTTTGTTGTTGTTGTTGTTATCATGCTGCCCATGAAACTTCAAGGGAGGCCCTCTCATAGATGACCAATGAGAGGGCAAGCTTTGTGGAAACACATAAAAAAAACCTGAAAACTGAGCACACTCTCTCTCTCTTTGGCTTTGACAAAAGCCAAAATTGTCAAAGATGCACTTAAATGCAAAGAGAATTAAAAAACAACCTAAAATGGACATCATTAGGGAAAAGCTAAATGAACTTTGTATATCCATATGATGGATTAATACAAAGGGTCTTAAAACAAAACTTTAAAAGCATCTTAATGGTAAAAATAAAAAAGTTAAAAATATAATAAGGTTTTTTATTTGAATACGAAAAAGGTAATAAGATCAAACAAGTGAATACATAAATATGTAATGCACAAAGAAAAAAGATGAAAAAAACTTCTATATTTATCTTCAAATGGAGAGAGGCCTTAGAAGATTTTTACCTTTATATTTAATATTCCTAATTCTCTACAGTTGAGTACTTTAAAAACAGTTTTAGAAATTTATTTAAATAATACATTTTGATATTTTTGAATATTAAAAGTAACATTTTTTACTGCAAATAAATGACCAGCACATTCATATTTCCAGAAGACCATTTCTTTTGTTTACTCATGGTCTTACCACACACATGATGTACGACAGGATAGCCCCAGAGGATCCGATGAGCGCGCCCACGATGGTAAGCAGGTTATTGTTGAGCAGGAATCCCTCAGCACACAGAGCCCAGCCTGAGTAGCTGTTCAGCACAGTGATGACAACGGGCATGTCAGCACCCCCGATGGCAGCCGTCAGGGTCACACCCTAGGACAAAGACCCAAGCAGAACTCAAATTTCGGAATACTAAAACCTATGACATTTAACATCTTGGTTCCTAATCATTCCAACTTTTCAACTAATAAGAATTCCATACAAGTTCCACTTCTGCTAATGCCCAAGTGTCTTCCATCTGACCAACTCTCTACTTGGTAGAACAGCTGTGAACACTCAGCCACCCCTTCAGCCTCAAAATAAATAAACAAATAAATAAATAAATCCCTAAATAAAAGCAGGCAGAAAATGGAGAGTGGGAGGTACTGGGGAATGAAACTGACATATTATGCTGTGTGCCTTATGAATACATAACAATAAATTCCACTAATATGTATAATTATAATGCACCAATAAAAAAAATTTTAAAGAAAATGGAGAGAGGTCTATGCCTAAAAAAAATATAATACCACTAAGTGAATTTTTCAGCTTTTATGGTTTTAGACCATTGTTGGTAGCAAGTGGACCAGCTAAAACTAAGATTATAAGCCCACAGTTTTACTGGTTGGAAGATCATGAGGTTAGGGTTTGTAGTGACTAAGTGACAGAGGAAACCCTGCAAAGGAGCAGGCTAGATGAATTGGAGGGACCCCAAAGCCAGTTTACTCTTATTAAACTATGCTATGTGGAGCAGACTCCAAGCAATCCTGTTAATGATAAAATAAAATAGCTCTCAGCTGCTCCCACCATAAGGGAACCGAAATTTGAAATTTGCATCCCACCAAATTACCTACCTATAAAAACAAATTTAAAAATGATAATTGATACTCTTTAGATGGATACAATAGAATCCCAAGCATCCATAACATATCATGAATAATGTCCACTATGCAATCCAAAATTACTAAACCAGGAAAATAAAAAGGCTGGTAGAAAGATTTTTGCTTTTTATTCCACATTCTCCTACATTTTTCTTGTTACTAAATGTATTCATTTATCACTTATTTAACCCAAAAGCAATTAAAATAAGGCCATAAAATCATCACTTATGCAGACATTCTCATAGGGCAATAAGTATCTTTTAGATCTCAAAAAAATAAGAATTATTGAAGTTTTGTATTTCTATAGTATTAGTTTGATTTTGAGACTTTAACCTCTTTCACTTTGTTAGATTAAAAATATCAAAACTATTTTTCTTCCATTTAAAACAAAATTATCACTACAAAAGGCAAAGAAAACTGAATTATCGGTATTCATATAAAGATAGATTTTTAAGTGACTTTAAATTTTCTGTACTAAAATCATGACCTAATTCTTAGGATTCCACAAAAATAAGTATCATTTTTGTACTACAAATATTGTGTTTCTGAATCAAGGAGCCACTAAGTATTTGATAAGCAATTACTAAACATCTAAGTTTAGGCTAGGCACAGTAGCTAGTATTTTTAAAAACTTAAAATATAAACCCTATGTACAAGGTATACACCATATTAGAGAAACATAAAGCAATCGGTGAGTGACACAGAACTGCATACAATATCATCAAATATTGATATATAAAACACCAAACAGAAACATATAGACAAAAAAATAGTCTACATCTTAATAGACTAAATGCAAAAGGCAGGGAGAAAAAGGAAGACCAATCCTATTATGAAAGGCTGGACCCCCTTACTGAGCACACAGGTTTATTAACTGAATTTTCTTTTATATGATTATTTGATTTAGTGTCCAATGAATGTGACAGCAAATAACAGGCAAACTTACCATGTAAACTTCAAAGCACTGTTTTGCGGTGCTTGTCATATAGTAGGTACCTAATGAATGGAACTGAAACCCTTGACTTTTTAAAACTCTTATTCACCAACACATAGATCCAATGAAGAGACTCCAGAGCAAGAAAGGTGTCACATGTGACAACTTTTAAATGAACAATTAAGTTGAAAGAAAATATGTCCTTGTTCATCTCCAACTTCTTACCATGATAGCAGAAAGAGCTGACACGGAGCCCAGACAGGTAATGCCAGTGGTAAAGCTGGGGTCAATCATATATGGGATTATTCCACCGACACTAGCAGCCAGCAAGCCTGCATTGAGTAAGTGCCTTCCAGGTAGAAGGAGAGGGGCTGATTTCAGGATACCTAGACCAAGGAACATAGTTTCAAAATCTCAAATGTGTAAGAAACCACCTTCACACATACACTCAACTGCATGTCACTTAATCCCAAACTGTCAAAATGTAATATTAGAATGATATGGTATCTGAAGTATCACTTTATACCACCAGATACGAGACACAAAACCATATTAGAATTATTAAATGTAACAAACACTAACGGAAGACAGGAAAAGTATGGTTCAATCTAACTGTTCTTTTTCCTACTTTGATCACATAATTTCTTTACTCTTTGTCATAGAATCTTAAAAAGTGATTTTTTTCCCCGTACACCAACATAAAAGTTGTTAAGTGTGGTTTTATTTATTTAAAACTTCAATACAGACTCTAGTACATTAGCATTTCTGATTCTATCAACTGAGCCCGAGGGAGAAGGACCTTTGTTTTTTAGTTGTTTCTAAAGACAAAGCCTAAAACAAGAATGTTTTAGGTTTGAAGTTCTTTTGTGATTTTTTAGGTTTCATGGAAGTGTCCTACTTAATGACTTTATTACTGAGAGGCAAGATCTGATTTTAAAATCACAAACTAGTTTCCCTAGAGACTCTTTTTTTTTTCCTGAAAACAGCCTCCCTGAATTTTTTTTCCTCTACTTCCAATTTCAAAATGAGTTCTGTTTACTAGTGACATGAACTCACTCAAGAAGTTGTTCTCTATTCTGCGAAATGTATAAAGCTCACTTGTGTAAATTCCATGCAGACATCTCTAACAAAAGATCACAAAGCTATTATTTTGTTCATACATGTTATCAAATCTCAGTTAGTTTATGTAAATTTCTGTGCACTAATTTCCTCCACTAGCTGTCTGCAGAAGAAATAGTTCCAAAGTTTTGATATTTGTATGGATCAATAAAAAGGAGCCATCTTTCTGGAGTGAAATCTTTTCTATCTTTCCGAGTGCTATCCAAGCCTCTTCCCTCAACAGTTTCTTTGGGGAAGGTGATTTCGGAAGCTAAATGGACTCTCGTACCCTGAACAATAGACATTTACTTCCACATCACACTAAATTGCTTACCCTGTAATTTCCCATAGGCCACAAGTGACCCGCTGAAGGTGACACCGCCAATGTAAGTGCCAAGGTAGGCCACGATCTTGGTGAGATTTGCTGCTGCGTCCATAGCAAAATGTGGATATTCCACAACGTACTCAGCTATGCAAGTCAACACGGCCGCCAAGCCCACTAAACTGTGGAAAGCAGCAACTAACTGAGGTAAATCGGAAATCTGGATGCGTTTGGCAATTGTCAATCCTGTTGGGAAAGGATGATCAAAGAGAAATTACAACTGGACAGACCTTTGAGACGTGACCACACCAAAGATCACATGTAAATGTTCCCACCACTGTCACCAATAAATATTACCTAATCCTTAGTAAGGGCTGATATCCTCTGCAGGGACTGTACAGGCATTGTTTTACACATATACTCTTTCAAAACCAGGTTTTTTCCAAACATCTAACCAAGGCCCAACTTCAAATAACACAAACATAGCACTAATGCCTACTTCTTCCTCCCACTAACTCCTCTTCTTCAACAAAAGTTTCTTGAGATCACTCTAACCTCCAATTAGGCCCCCTAAAATTCTCCCCACTAAATGACTATTCCAGGCCTCTTCTTTATAGGCAGTGCTTGCTCCCATGCAGTAAGAAACAGCTAGAATATGGGAACAGGGAATATTCCTGGGGGGTAGTGACAGGGACAGGTTTTCAGGTAGGTAGGTGGGAGCCAAATCCGAAAGTAAAGAACTGCAAGATTCTGGGCAGAAAATGCCCAAATGAGGAGACTCTTAAGGGATTTCATAGCTCAAGATAGGTAAATAGAATGAGTGAAACTCAAAATATTTGCTAAGACATGTCTAAAGGATTTCCTGCCATAAACACAGGTTTTTCTTCCTTCAAGTATTTTTTAGAGGTTATCAAGAAAGAACTTAAAGTTTCCCTAAGGAAGGACAACAAAAAGCTTAAAGCGAACATCACTCTGGTAAATGTTTAACAACCAATTCACAGGGGTCGGGGTGTACATGTGCAAATAAATACTTGAGTTTTTAATGATATAAAGGTATACGTTAATTCAAATGATAATTAAATACTCAATACTCTTCATTCCAACTTCCATATAGATAAATGACTGTCCTAGGATGCTTTTGTTGATTATTGCTAAATTCTTATACCTGGAGCCAACCTAGTATTTGCAACTGATGAACAGGCAGACTTCCTACCTAAACACTGGCTAATATTTTTGCTTACATTAACAAGTAGGATGAAAGTAAAACACCATATGTTTGTGGCATATATATGTATGTGAGAACTTCACTCATTTGCCAACTCTGCAAGGGACTTCTTTGCTGAATCTGATAAGAGTTTTCAAACATTGGAAGACTGTTCAACTTTTTGTGTTACTTATAGTGCAAGGGCTATAGTCACAACATATTTTAAGCTTAAACTGTTATTATTAATATTTTTCCTTCACTTTCTTATGTCTGAACAATAAACAAAATAACAAATCAAGTCCAGATGTGCAGCATATGTTTATTTCAATAGTACAAATACTTCTACCAAGGATCATTTCTACCTGCCAATGTGATAGTACTGAATGTGGGACTGAGAAGAAATGTATAATAGCCCACTACCTCATACTATTTCTATTAAACCCCGTAATAGACATAAATAATCCCAAGATAAAATCTGGTTAGTTACAAAAGTATGTGTTTTTAGTATTATTACCTTTGCTTCTAATATATTTTATTTTAAATTTATGTAATTTAGGTTTTAATGGTGGCTATATTTAAAAACTTGCAAAATTCCTGAAAATTTAACAACAGTCCTAATATACTAAACATGATTAACAATGGTTTCTTTGCCCACCTATGTAATTTTCAAGTTTTTAACAGGTCTAAGAAGCAGAATTTTCAACTGTTATTTATGACCAGATCAAAAGATGTGCCTATATATAGTCCAAACGTAAGTATTTCAGCACCCTATTCTACCATCAGCCAACTAGGCATAGTAAAGGAAAATAAAAACTGAGTACAGTCAAATTCTTACCATCTCTTTTGACTCAGTCATCATAGTTACTCAATGTTTTAAAATACAGGAATTTCAACGAAAATTATACCAACTTTAATAAATATGATAATATTTACTGATGCAATTTCCATTAAAGTAATTTAATTTAATTCCTTCATCAGTATGGGCCTCAAACAGAAATATGTGTTCAGAAACCAGGCTGCTAATAAAAGGACTTACTCTAACAAAGTACAGCCATGCATGCACCATATAAAGATACTTTGATAAAGAGACATGACACTGGTCCTATTGGTTATAATAAAGATGAAAAACTCCAATTGCTCAGTATTTGTACTGTAACTTTTCTGTGTTTAGATACACAAATACATACCATTATATTACAACTGCATACATATTCAGTACAGTAACATACAGATTTGTAGCCTAGAAACATTAGCCACCTAGATTTGTGTAAGTGCACTCTAAGATATTTGCACCACAATGAAAGGATGCATTCCTCAAAATGTATTCCCATCGCTAAGCAATGTAGAACAGCACACTAAAATCCCTGAGTGGAATGCCCTCAAGTATTTGAAGGACATAGGTTCCCATGAAGGCAGAAGCCTAAAAGTACTTACCAATGGTACCGCCCAAAGCCATTGCTCCAGACATCTGAGCTAACAATTCTGGGTCCGGTTTTAAGCCTCCAAGTGTGGCTGCCAGGCCTCCAGCAACCCCAATCATACCCAATGCATTGCCAAGACGAGCTGTTCCCTGGGTGGAAAGGCCAGCCAGGGCACCAACACAGCACAAGCCCGAGCCTAGGTACATGATCTTTTCAAAGGAAAGGGGAAAGAGGGAAAGAGAGAAAGAGAGAGAGAGAGAGAGAGAGAGAGAGAGAGAGAGAGATTATTAAAACCTTCCATCTATTAGATTTCCTCTCTGATGGAAACATGATTCTCTAAGGACAATTTAAGTTTGGATAACAAAGGGACAAATCTGAGCTCTTTTCATATTTCAGTATGTTTTCCTACCTGTTAGGAATATTAGCATGTTAAATACTTTGTGTTGTATTTGCAATTATACCATTATGTAAATTGGTTTCTTCTAGGTTATACACATGTTATACATAAATATATATAAAAATACCTAAATTTAATGGAGTTATTGTTGGATGTGATACTAAACCTTACCAAATGTTACAAAGGAGCTAAGCCCTGATGTCATAAGAGCCAGGAAATGTGCATAGACTTCACTTGACTTAGTTTCATGAGACCAACATGAAGAAAGAATCACTATCTTCAATTACAAAAGAGAAAATCTAAGACTAAAAAGATTACATGATTTCTTCAAGGTCAAATGAAAAGGGCAAATCTGGAATTCAGACTTTCATGTCCCTGACTCATTGATTCAACTCTTCCTAAAAAAATATTCTGTTAATTCAACAAATACTCCATGTTAGAAACACAGAAGAAACCAGGAGAGACATGATTCTTCTGTTACAGAGGTTGCAATCAGTGACAGTCATTGAAAAGAAATGGAAAATAGTTCAGATCAAAGTTGAGGCTCTATTATATTATATTTTGACTGGGAACTTTCAAAGTTCAACTTGATTATTTCTCTTTTACTATTCAACATTAATTTTTAAATTTTCTTTTTAAAAATGAATTGGCCTGACATTTCCTGGTAACAACATGACTTACTGGATTTGTAGAAGTAGAAAGAAAATAGGAAAAGTTCAGCAAGGCCCTAAGCAACCTAGCAAGACCCTGTCTCAAAATGAAAAATAAAAAGGGTTGGGGAATATAGCTTGGTGGTAAAGTGCCCAAAAAGGAGAAAGAGAGCAGGAAAATGACTAAGTTCTTAATAACAAAAATTTGTCAAATTAAATCACTGATTATTTCTTTGAAACCTTACAACAACCCAGCCATGTACATAAAGAAGGTACTAATACCTTCTCAACCTTTTTTTCATGTAAAAATTTAGGGACAGGTAAACCCCCATTAGCAGGCAAATCTATCTGTAGAATCCAGGGTCCTTATACTTAGGGAATGGTAATTACTGTATTTGCTTGGCAGAGTAGTATTTTCTTGAGAGTTTGAATTGTGTAATAATAATGTTAAATCTAATAAGGAAGAAAACACAGTGGTAAAAATAAAACCATTCAAAAATCCTCTTACTTGTTCAATGTTATAGCCACTATAAAGGGCAGCTAAATATCCACCCACGAAGGTGCCAGCAGGGAGCAGATACAGGTAATTATATTCTGGGGGATCCGTGGGACGCTTGAACATGTCCAGCATTCTCTGAGTCACCAGAAAGCCACCTTATCAAAGCAAAGGGAAGACAAAACAAAAAGAGATGTCCCATTGAGCAGAGTGATTTTTTTCCAAAGTGTTATAATTTTTCTGTTTAAACATATTTTATCACCTAGGTATAAATATAACTTAAGTAACATTTTTAGAATGTCAAAAATAAAAATCATTCTACTATTCAAGCCAGAAATTAGTGGGAAAAAAAAAAAAACCCTACATATTTTCACATATATTCAGGAAGGAAACTTGCTATCAAAATGCAAAAACAACTATTTCTGCATGACTAAAAGCAAACAGCCCTTCAAAAAGCTTGGAAATGCAAAAGATCAATGGTCGGTATTTTTTTTTCTTTTAAAAAATATTGTGTTTTAGTTGTAGTTGGACATAATACCTTTATTTTATTTTTATGTGATGCTGAGAATTAAACCCAGCGCCCTGCTCATGCTAGGTGAGCATCTAACTGCTGAGCCACAACCCCAGCCCCTATTTTTTTTTCTTAATATTAGGTTATTTCATTTGTTAAACTGTACTAAGTGATAAAGAAAAAATAGCATATGGACAGGCACCATGTTTCTTGGACACATTAAAGAATTTTAGCTACAAAATAGCACCAAAAGAGACTCATACATGAATAGGGTGTTAAGCTTTCAGTTTTTAGGAACAAACATTGTCTGCAGTAAGGCAGATGACTAAAATGTTATATGAAATTATACGCCTTTGTAGATGTTAGGTGATAGCACTAAATCATTGTAATCCAAAACTATGCACTTGATAACTTTCTAGTTAACTTGTAGCAAGACATCATTTTGTTTGTTTGGGGGCATGGGGTAAGTTGCTCTTTTATCAACAGAGTTTCTAACAATTACAAAAGGACAAAATTATCAAGTTTCCTTCACAAAGAGCATTTATGGACTGAGTGAAATATTCCTTCATGGTACAGTTAGTTTCTTAAAGTCAGAAAGTCCATTTTATTCTGATTTGAATTTGCAGTCTGTATCTTCATTAAAAATAGTACTCTAAGCTGAGCATAGTAGTATATGGTTGCAATACCAAAATAAGGAGGCTGAAAAGGGAGGGTCACAAGTTCAAGGCCAGGTTCAGCAACCTGGTAAGGCACTGTCTCAAAGTAAAAAAGGGCTGGGGATGTTGCTCAGTGGTTAAGCACCACTGGGTTCAATCCCTGGTACCAAAAGGAAAAAAAAAAAATAGCACTCTAGGTTCTTTCATGATCATCATACCTGCAATGTTGACTGAGGAGATGAATGTAGCAAGAGCAGCAAGACCCTGAGAAGTTGTGGAAGGATACAAATGTCCCCCCATCAGTGCCAATCCACCAACTGCTGTCAAACCTAAAAAGAAAACATTAATATGGTGATTATAGAGGTAACTCCAAATTAAATGTCACAGCTGAAGGACAGACCTGTCATACACAGATTCACAAGGGGAAAGTTCTCACTACCAAACACAAAGCAGCCTCTTTGTGCCTCCATTCAGACATAAACAATTTTCCTAATGAGGACTATTGATAACACACCTCCACACCTTTCTCACTTAAAGTACTATCGTGGGCAAAATGTTAGCAAAACCTTTCCTCCTTTTGCATTAGAATCTGACCTTCCTTTAACTTTTTTGCTCTGACCCTGATTGATATAAATCAACAATGCCACTAGACAACATTGCTTATAGGGAAAAGTGTCTACAGGTAGATAGATACCTTATAAACAGACTGGAAAGGACTAACTGTGAACTATAAATACTTGATGGGGATGCCGCAGCTTTGGGCTTTCCCGAGTATAGTACCTCTTGAAACTTGACATCTCTGCAGAAATCCTAACAATGTTATAAGAAATGACCATGGATGGCTGGGAACATAGCTCAGTGATAGGGTGCTTGCCTGACACACGTGAAGCCCTGGGTTTGATCCCTAGCACCACCAGAGAAGAAAAAAGAAATGATCAAGGGACCTGTTGCCTGTCCCATGTGTGTATCATTTCCTCATGTTAGAGCCATCACTGGGGGCCAAAGAACAGTTCCTAGGCAGCCACATGGATGGCAGCTTGGATCAGAATAAAGAAATGCCTGCTGCTGTCTCAGCAAGCCAGTTCCTATCTCCTGTGCTTTACTGTGAACTGATACCATGTATTGATATCACTTATTGGAATCTCGATAGGCTGAATGTCAGTTTGACTTAAGAAGAGCACCCATAGGATGTGGCAACTGATTCTGTGAAACAGGAGTTTTCACATTTCATCAGTGAAACCTTTCCTTAAAGGAAATCATAACTGAAAGAAATACCAGTAGACCTGCATTGCTTGAAACAGAAGCAGCCCAAAGGGCTAATGCTGCATGACCTTTTACTTCACAACCCCCCCCCCACCTTTGAGGAAGCTGTGAGTCACCTTAATAACCACCTCTTATACCAAGGGAAACAATTTGAAAACACAGACTTTATAAACCTCATGGAAAGTACTCCTAAAGCTAAGAAGCCTTTGAAAACCTAAGATGAAGCAAACACATGAAGAACAAACCTGAGATTGCATTAGTCACAGACATCAGTGGTGAGTGGAGAGCAGGAGTCACTCCCCAGACGGTGTGGTACCCCACGATACCGGCCAAGCCAAAAGTGGTCACCATCTGAGAAAAGGCTAGATTGGGAGCCACAATGCCCAAACCCAGCATCCCAGTGAGACCTAGAGAAAGAAAGTAAAGAATGTGAGATGACTTCCCATTATCTCAGTAAGATTAAAAAAGAACACATACCTCCACACACAGTCAAACATATGAAGAGTCTGTGTCTCACATTCCACTCCCTTGCCAATAAAGAGCAAATTAGACATTTGGCATTTGAGAAGTAGGGGAAGGAGGAAGATATTAAGAACAAAACACAACTTTCTGACCACTCCATCTCTCAAATAATTTGTAAAGATCCACTAATATTTATGAGTCACCTTAATAATAATTTGCACATTTTCCTTTGCAAAGCTTTGTCCTCTTCCCTGTTTCAACTTTCTTGACAATGCCACATGTATTTATACAAACATTTTTATTCCAGAATTATAGGCCTACAGAGGAGCTACAAAGCATTTTCTACTTGGGCAAGATATAACCTTTATAAGACAGGACTTTTATGAGGCCAATTTTATGTCACTCTCAGAATTGGCTGAGGAAGAGAGGTTTTAAAAGAGTAGGAAGGATTTCATTCACTCCAGCACCTCCCCAAAACATATGGCTTCCACCCACCCGGGACAGAAGTTTTGCAATTGCTCCCGAATCTGGACTGGACTGCTGGCCAGGGCAGTCAGCTCTAGCCTCAACACCAAGTCAGCAAACAGGATTTTACAAAGAAAAGAAAAAAAAAATACAAATTAAATTAAGAATGTGCAGAATACAAACAGTCAGCTCTGAACATACATCTTTAATTAGCGCCTTCCTTAATAGCAAACATGTGGATAGCTGCTTTGCAGCAAGAGAAAGGGTTACCTAATGGTCAGTGAAAATAGAACTACAGTGCATTACCGGGGAGGAACCTCTCACTTCTTTGGTAGGAACTATTATTTTCTAAACGGTATAACTGGGACATCTACAAATTGACATTAATTTTACTTTAAGTCATTCAGTAAGAGTGAAGGTTTATGTTTTTCTACCCACATACAATATTTCCAAGGTTCTAGCACATGGCCTGTTAACCATCTGGAGGGAAAGTCAGATAAAATATTTGGCCTTCTAGTTAAAAATCAGAGAGCTGTTTAGGGTTGTAGTTAATCATAAGTTTTCCTAAGTCAGACTGCCAGGTTCAAATCCTCATTCTGCTGCTCTCCAACTGTGTGATCTAAAGCAAATTGCCTAAGTTGTCTGTGCTTTGGTGTCTTTATCCATAAAATTAGTAACCCTGTCTTCATCTGCAAAAGAATATAATATTATGCCTACCTTACTGAATTCTTACAAAGAATAAAATTAGCCTAAGGCATATGAAATATTCAGCACAATGTCTAGCACTCACTAAATAATAATTCTTATTCTAACCACATTAGTCAGAAAATACTGAATTATCATAATCCATAGTCGTTTGTTTGCGTCATCAAAGAGACATACAAAGATCAATTCTTTAATAATCTAGCAAAAAGCAATATACCTTGACTCAATAAATATAACTGAAACCTAGAAAAATAAAACTGCATGCACTTTCCCATCATTTTCTTAGGAATTTCAAAGATAAATAGAAATTTATAATCCTACTCAGAAAAAACTCCATGTATGATACAACAATCTAGTTTCTTTTTTTCTTTTTTTTTAAACAAGTGAGTGCAAGTAGGGACACTTGCCCTATCTACTCGCAATGTTCATCACCAGAAGCTTTCCACTCATTTTGCTGAATTGAGCTCTTTATTCAAGGAGTTACACACTTAGCTTTAGAACATCTGGACTCACATGGGAATTCAGATAATGCTGAGGCTACAAGAATTCTGTGTGCCTGGTGCTTGTTCTTCGTTCTTTAAAGTTTTCCTTTGTTTTTATTTTGGCTCTAAGTAGATCTAAATATTTTTAATTTGTTCTATGAAAGAGAAACCAATTTTAAGTCAAATACCCAGTATGTAACAATGCATAACCATAAATTTTTACTAGGTGAGTAATTTAGAATGTTAGTCAAATATCCAAAGGCTATATAATTGCCGTGTTTATTCTTTAAGGCAAATATTTGGTTCCCCAGTCTTACCCAGCTACTCAGATACTTACCCAACTACTCACAACTGATGTTTGCAAAGTACAAGATGTCCTTAACTACACTTACACATAACTTAACACCAACACAATCTGATATCTATCACGACCAATATAGTCAGTGTGGATAGAAATATCAATGACTATATTTAAAATGTTTTCTATAAAAGGAATCATGCTCACAGCCTGGATGTCATTTCTCATGGCTTCTCTTAAGTATTCAGCATACAGTTTGTGTCTCTGGAGTGGTTAATCAATCCCAAAGAAGTGAGACAAGTGGGGTGGGGTTGTGGCTCAGAGGTAGAGCGCTAGCCTAGCGTGTGTGAGGCACTGGGTTCGATCCTCAGCACCACATAAAAATAAAGGACTGTGTCCACCTACAACTAAAAACTAAATATTTAAAAAAGAAGAAGAAAAAGAAGTGAGACAAGTAACATGTTGATAAAAAGTCAAGTCTATCAGGCCCAGTTATGAATGGAATCCACAGAACAACAACACCATTGCATTTACCTAATTTGACAATTACAACATTACATATAAGATGAACACAATCAGGTCTCTTTGCTACACAGCCAGGATCCTCACCTGCTGTGTAGGCAGAAGCTGTGGCCATGGTCCTCCTGAACGGTGTAACAGTAGCTGCCTTTTCAGCTTCTAGCTCAGCCACTGTCTTCTGTTTTACTGGGGCACCTTGAGGAATATTTTTCGGTGTGGGAGCAGGGAAAATCACTTCACCATCCTAACAGAGATCAGAAAATAGTATTATTTTTAAAAGGTCAAACCAATATTTCAAAAACCACTTACAGAAATAGCTGTTTTTAAAAAAAGCTATTTTACATATAATTTTACATAAGTATATTATACATTCATAAAATTTATAACGTGTACACAAATATTTAATGTTTGTATTACACATACATAGATTTATAATTTGTATGTGTGTAGAACGTATATAGAAAATACAGATCAAACCCAAAAAAGCAGGCCTGTGGAGAGAACACTGCTTTATTTTATTCAATTTCCATTTGTTTCTGGTTTTCAAATGCAAAGAACATTTTCAGTGAGTTGTATATATTTGAGACTTTGAAATATTTTTCTTTAAATCATTCTCCACTTTTAAATAATTTTATTGGCATAAACCTGGTATGTCAGTATTTCACTAGAGTACATTAATATTTGAAAATGATTCTTGCCTGAACAAAAATTCTAAAATGAATTTACATTAAAAACACAGGAAGGGCCAGGAGCAGTGGTGCATATCTATAATCCCAGCAACTAGGGAGGCTAAGGCAAGAGAATTACCACATTCAATTGGCATTCAAGCCTGGCATCTTGAAAAGACTCTGACTCAAAATAAAATAATAATAAAGGCTGGGATGCAGCTCAGTGGTAGAGCCCCCTGGGTGCAATTGCTAGTACTGCAAAATTTAAAAAAAAAAAAAAAAAAAAACACAGGAAGGAAGACATCTCTACTTACCTTCATCACTACAGTTCCTCTAATGACATGACCCATTGTACCAAAGTCAAAATCATCTTTCACTTCAAAATAAAAATTATCTTTATCAGGGCTGATGGCCTTCAGGAGCTTGGTAATATTGTTGGAGTACAGAGTACTGGCCTGGGTGGCCATCCGGCTGGGAAGGTCTGTGTAGCCTATATGAGTGACTCCCTAAATGAAAACGCATACAGTCAAAGAGGTATATTACCTTATGCTCACATTCTTTCCAGGACAATTCCCACTCATACTCAATACTAAGTTTTAAAATTATATATCTTTTGCATATATATACATACTTTCTCTCAAACATAAGTATGAATTTCAAAAAGATCTTTAACTGCACCTGTTTTTAATTTTAAAAAGTTTCAGGTCTCAATTTTTTCAAATATTTAAAGGAATAAATATCCCCCTCAGAGGAAGCTGGGATGTAGCTCAGTGACAGAACACCTGCCATGAATTCTATTCCCAGTACTGCAAAAAAAAAAAAAAAAACCTCACAAATTAATAATAATAGTAGCATTCATTCACAGGCAGAAAATGCTTTTTTGCTATACCTTATGAATATAAAGTTCTCCTGGCTTAGTGGTTTCAAAGTTTCCGCCAGCTTCTGCAGCTAGATCCACAACAACTGAACCTTCCTTCATTGACTCAATCATTTCTTTACTAAATAAAACAGGAGCTTTTTTACCTAATAAAATTAAAGAAAACAATACAAATTATCACTCTGAAACGCTTTATATTCTAATTGTTAAGGAGTCTCTGGGCACTCAGGAATTTAACATCTGCAATTTTAACTCTTTCCAAGATATCACTAAAGACCATAGGTAACACAGTTGAGATAGATCTTTCTCTACAGGAAAAAATATTAATGTAGGCTGTAAAGCCAGTGTGCAGGATGGAGCCATTCAGCTGGTGAGTGAGGTTTGCCACCTGCTCAGCATGAGAATCTCAGCCCTGATTTTCCCAACTAGCTCATATACTCAGAGAGAAACAACTTGGTTTTTTTTTAAATGAATAATAATAAGCCATTACAGAAATCATGTTGTTCACTCAAGTTAAACAATTCATAAATGTCAAGAGTATAGTTGGTACTGCTTTACAAATTACAAAATAGACTATTTCCATATATCTTAACAAATATCACCAGATTACCCAACACATTGTATTAACCTACCTTAATTTAACAAGGATAACTTCTAGGAGAGAACAGAAAGTGCCATGTCAACTTTATAAACAGAAATCAATTAAAAATAAAATTTGTGTTACAATCATCTAATTTTCAATCCACTTGACTGGTATACATATGATTCAAAAAGAAAAATAACACTCCTTTGTAGCACATGTGATAAAAGACTGTGAAGATATGAGGGTTTATGTGGTAACTCCTGTTTGCTACAAACTTCATATTGTCAAGATCAAGTTCAAATCCTGAGGCTCTCCTTACTGAAATCCTTCCTTCCTCAGCTGAAGTGCTCTTCTATTATGCCCTCTCATTACTACCCATTGGACCTTTAGCCTCAACCATAATCAGCTGGCTGCCACATGATTTGTTGGATAATCTCTGGTTCTCTCTTCTGAGTATTCATGGATACAGTAAGCATCAAGAGACATTTTTCCCAAAAGACAATACCTTAAAGTCCTGGTAGTTTCATAACTTCTCAAAATTCCCTGAAAGTATTCCCCCTTCCCTCCCCACATAGTCTATCAAAGCATCCTTAAAAATATTTACCTAAATCGTACTCAACCATGAGAATTTGAGGATGCAAACCACACACACCTCCCATAATAAAGGTCATGTCCCTCAGCTCCCCAGTGAAAGATGGCAGTTGCATCCTCACAATGAGGTCAATCTGAAGTGCTCACCTGTACTCTCCAGATATTGCTGTCATCACCACTCTGACCCTCTCACCCAGAGCCACTTCTCTACTGCCCAACCTCCTGTTTGTTAGAGATTTTCCTTCCACCTTACTTGTGCCCTCCAGTCATTGTACCTAAAATGACCCATTAAATTCAGGTCTACCCCTTTGACTTGACTGAACAGACTTTGCAGCTACCAATGTACAAATTCTTGGCATCTAATTTCTCTTGCCCTAGAAATTCTGGATTCCTTCTTCTTTCTGAGACATCAATAGCCAAGGATCAGTCCCTAGACTGCAATGCTACCACTCTGCAAGACCTCACGTGGCCAAACCATTTAGCATCCTTCAAAAACACATAAAATGCACAATCTATTTGTCTTCTCACATTTTACTCACTCAACCTGAATAAAATGACTGTGCAGTAGCTGATATAGTCTTAAAAAATACATATACATATGTGCATCTTAGAGATAACAGGTGTTCTATCCATATTATTTCTCCAAAACTCGATCATTTTTAAAACAACAGCATACTCTTTCATGCTTAGTGATTATTTAGTGTACAGACTGGTAGAGATCACCAGAATAATTTAAAAATCTACTTCATTCAGAGAGGAATATTTAAAGATACAAAATTATTATAAGTAAAAAGCACATAACAAAGTAGTATACACTTATAAATGTGTATATTTCAGTGTTTCTCATATATATGTACACACACACACACATATATATACTATATAGATTGTGGTAAATTCTGTCAAAAAACATTTAACAATATTATGGTATATTTGAGTGGGGAGACCAAGTTATTTTCTTCTCTGCACTTTTTGTTATCTCTCAAATGTTCTAATTTTAAAATTAAGAAATCTTAATAAGGGCTACAGGGAATACAATGATAAATCTAACAGTGCAGCTGCCCGTAAGCACTCAGATATGAAGCAATTTTTTTTAATTCTGGAAGAAGTGCAGAAATAAAAATTAATAACAAATGGAGGAAAAAGAGAGCCAAAAGAGAAGCAGGGTAGTAAATAAAAGTTCCCAATGAGCAAATCCTCAAAAGAATAGGTCAAGAGAAAAACTGAGGAGACAATTTCAAAATACTATCTTACTCTAATAGCCTAATATGATAAAAGTCAATGTCTGATAAATGTGGCATCATATAATGTAAAGAACAAAAGAAATAATATGATTAGTTAGGTATTTGGAAGAAAAAAAAGACTCTACCCAAACATAATATCCTTTTACTAGGTAGATCAGAATTAACTGTAAGAGAACCAACCCAACAAAAGAAAGAAAAGTGGAGGAAGAGAACTGGTTAAATATCTCTCTAGTTTGTGAATACAGAAACTACTTTCTAAATTTGAAGCAATGAGGGAAATTACAAAGAAAAGCATCAATATATTTAAATTTGAAAAATGTACATATTATAATCCTCAAAAATCACAAATGACAAAAATTAATCTACTAAAAAGTTCACAGAAATTTAAATGAAAACAAAATGCTAAGATTCTAATAGATAAATGAACAATAAACATAAATGGTCAATTTTTTAATGGAAAAAAAGTTCTACTACAGTCAAAGAAATATGGGGAAAAAGAAAGAAACTGTTTTTTTGGCCTCTAAAACTAGCAAAGTCAAAAAGTCATGATATTTAATGTTGAGATAAAACAATTAACTAAAAAACTTACTGATGAAATTATGAACTACACAGTCTTTCAAAAAATCAGTTCATTAAGTGTATATCAACTGGCCAAAAACATTGATATCCAGTGATGCTACTTCTAATATCTGATTAATCCTTGGGAAAGTAAGTGAAAATGCAGACATAGAAGTTATACAGAAATAAATGTTATAAGAACTTTTTTTAATTGACAAAAACTGGAAATAAATTAAAAGCCCAACTTTGGGGGAGCAATTAAATAAAATATGGCACATCCCAATAAGAAAATTCTGCAAAACCATCAAAATATATTTACAAGGATTCTTAATGATATATCATATTGCAGTAAATGGAAAGCTTTCAATTCTAAATGAGGGAAAAAGACATAGTACACCTTGATCTTAACATTATAAAAACACACTGAAAAAAAATACAGAAAGGAAATGGTAAAATGTTAACAGTATTTCTCACTAAGTAGAGGGATCACTTATATTATTTCCTATTTTCTAGCTATTTCGTTATTTTCTATTTTCTATTTTGTACTTCATTGCCTCTCTAACAAAAGCCACATATTGTTTTAATAAAAAATTATTTCCACAAAATCACAACCATGTTCTCCTTTAATTAGAGAAGGTGGTTTAAGATTCAGTACTAGGGAGAATTAGAATAACTTTGAAAAAGCATCAGACCAAACCTCTTTACTTACTAACTGAAAAGGCTTCATGCAAAGTTACCTGTCCTCCCAACTGCAGCAACATCCTAAATGTATAGTTAGGATAGTCTTTCAAAGAGCACACCAAAACACTTTTAAAAGAGGCTGAGGATGTAGTTCAGTGGTAGAGCACTTGCCTAGCACATACTAGGCAATGAGTTTAATCCCCAGCACCACCAAAATATAGATATTTATAAAGGAAGACAGAGACACAACTAAAGATGGAGAACAGGAAGTGTGTACAGATTGTTGACAATGTATAACATAGGGGGAAAATACAACCAATGTTTTCTGCAAAATCTTCCCAATATACAATCTGATGAGGTCCTAGAAATAAGGATAAAAGATTAAATGAGCATCTTGGGTATTTTAAGACATAACTGCAGAAGAGTTAATCAAAGAACACAGATGAAAGATATTTTCTTTTATGAAGGCACAATTAGGATTTCCCATTTTGAAGCTCATTGCTGTTAAATTTATCATTTATCTGCAAAAGATACAATATACAAAAAGGCCAAGATTATTACATTTCCTAAAATTACCCCTCTTTTAAAAATCACTTTGATATAAAAATAATTAAGAAAGAGAAAATTTTTAAATATTTCCTGGCACAATACAAACTGGGTGAAAGATGTGACATGATGTCCAACATTATGAAATATTGCTTGCTCCTTTCTGGTTCATGGACATGAAGTTCTCCTGGTAAAGTTACTCAGTTCCTTCCCATTTGGGAGTTATTTCCATACTTTTTGCCAAGACAATGGCAGGACATCAAGCACTCACAGTCATCATTCAAGTAGTCATTCATTCATTGACTCAATTTGTAATTAATTAGTGACTCCCATTTGTAGACTAAAGGAAACTTTTACTTATAACACTGAGGTCTTTTTTTTTTTTTTCGGTCACGGATTTAGTGTTTAGACGACCCTAGCTGAAAAAAGGCTGCATTAGAAGGTTACATAACATTACTAGAAAAGCTGGGTATGTAAAGCAATCATCTGAAATTTTTAATTATAGACTTTTCCAATTGGCCAGCCATTATTTGTGGTGAGCAGGAATACTGAAGAGTACTAGAAGACCTCTTGGAACCTCAGTGTACACCATGAATTGACTGTAGACTCCCTATAAAGGCTTCACACAGGTATACTGTTTCTTGATAAATGCACAAATAAATTCATTATTAAGTGCTATTGAATTTAGAGTATATTTTCATAATCATATTTATCAATAAATTTATATTAAGATATAATTTTAAAAGCTTAAAATTGTGAACTGCTAGAAAAATGACTAATTTCTAAAAACAGCTTTAACAACTTATTGTTATGTAGCAAAATAATATATCATTAACTTCTCTATAACACTAAGTTCAAAAAGAGTGATGTACCTTAAACTAAATGACAAAGGCCAAAGAGTTGCTGGAAAAAATATTTGTAATATACCTCCCTGAATAAATCA